CTTCTCTCAATTGTCTTTTCCATCATAAAAGTAAATACAGCTGGAATATTACAATAGTTAAATGAATTTTTATTAGTATTGATATTCGAAATTTTAACGTACGGTAGATAAGATAAAGTATGATATGAAGAGATCCATAGTCCTTATGAAAAAGAAAAAGGTTCTTTTGAATATTCATATAAGGTGACTGCTTCTGCCATCTATTAAAAGTTAAGAAGAAAAATATTTCTTCAAAAATACTATTAAATTTACTGTATCGTCATCGTTTGTAATTATGAAGTTTGTTTTTTTTTTACTTAGAATAATATCATATGATTGTCGATTTTAATTGTTGTCGAATTCATGACAGACCAGATGCTTACTTGTACCGATAGACTTGAATGACTCATTATTCTATTCCATACAACCTCTGCTCCGTGTGAGTTGATTGACGCAAGTTAACAAAATAATTTTGTTTTTGTTTCTTTTTATTATTATATCGTAATAGTCATCGTCGTTTTATATCAGATAATATTTTTTGAGACTTTTCTCCATTTAAAAATTTGTTCTCATTTGAAAATTTAGATAATATTCAAAACTAAAATTATTTTTTGAAACTTATTATATACTTATCTCTTTACTATCATTAAAACAATGACCAGCAGTCCAAACGATTATATTCAGGTAACAAATTATTTAAGACTCGAAAAATATTTATTAGAAAATTTCAATTTAATAGAAAGGTATTCAATATGCCGAACAAGCTACAGCCGATGATAAACTTCATAATTTTGAAGCTGCCGGTAAAAATTACATGGCAGCAGCAGAATGTTTAATGCATGCAGTAAAGTGTAAGTATATTAAAAAAATAGATCTTTAGAAATATGTCATAATATATTTGTATAATGTATATCTATATAGATGGAGCAATGAATGACCAATTGAAACAAAATATTCGTGCGAAAGTAACTAGTTATATAAAACGAGCGGAAGAAATAAAAGGTACTTCGAAGAATGGACCAACAATAAAAAAACCAATTGCTGATGGTGGAAATTCAAAAGATAATAAAGATGATGATGAAAATGGTGATCCAGAAAGAAAACGAATGATGCAAAAATTTGAAGGTGACAAGATTTTTTTACTTTCTTACAAATAACGTTTATTTATTTTTATTGCAGGAGCCATTATTACGGATCCACAAGTTACATTTGCTGACGTCATTGGTTTAGAGCAAGCTAAAGAAGCGTTAAAAGAAGCTGTTATTTTACCAGTGAAATTTCCACATCTTTTTCAAGGTATAATATATTATAAGAAATTTCTATCGTTAAATTACGAGGATATAGTTTGTACTGATCAATCGTTATCTAAATAAAAGCTACTGAATCATCCGTTAGTCACCATACTGATTCTGAACATGACTATAAGAAATTTCCTTAGATCTTTGATTTAATGTAAAAATCTCGATTTTCATAATTTTCAAACAAATAAATATGATAATAGAATGAGAAGATATTTTTCGATATTTTGATTTTTGGAATTTTATCTTTCAAGATTTTTATAGTAATATCTAAATACTTTTTATACTGGTTTTCTAAGAAATAGATTGTTTCAGGCTAACAAATATTTTGTCAAAATTGTTTTGGATCTATTGCGACTATGAATTATATCTAGTTCTCAATATAATAAATAATCTTTTCTGTTTTCCTAAAATGAGTTTGCATTCAGACCTAGCAGTGATCCTGATTTCCTGATTTTTCGAAGTCATCCTGATTCATCTTGTTTGAAGAATAGATAAAGTTCTTTATAAACTGAAAAGTGTCGATGAATATATGAAAAAATTCATCTTTTTTTTTTACAAGATTCCTAACAAATCTTGTGTCATTATTCAGTAAGAAAAAGAATATAGAGACACAATTTGGTTAGTTAGTAGATCTGAAAGTCGAGATTCCGATGAATGATCAACTCTCTTCGTTGGATTGCCGTCGATGAATCTCATGAAGCAACGTTTCAAAGTGTCTCCTTACTTTTGACCTGATATTTTGGCTATATCTTGGGGCCTCTGGACTAGAATAACCTTAAGTTGGTTCGCTTGCTCGGCAATTTGGACTTGATTTATTATGGATTCTAAACTTATGACACCAGGTTATCTGGAACAGCAAATATGTGGATTTCGCCCTGAAATTTTGTCTATAAATAAATCTAATAGCCATGAGAATACCTTAAAACGTTGAGACAAAACGAATGCATCCTTGAGATATTGAGTTTTTAAAAAACTGTCTATTTCTCAGAGAAAAATTCACAAAAATCGCAATATTTGGATATTCAACATCTTAAGAAGGATGCATTCGTTTTGTCTGAAACTTTTAAAGTATCTTAGTGGGCATCAGATTTATTTATAGACAAAATTTCAGGTCGAAATCCGCATATTTGCTGTTGCAGATAACCTGGCCTCATAGGACTAAAATCCAATAAAGTGGTCATAACTCAGTCCTTAAAGGCCCAGGCAAGCGAGCCAACTTAGGGTTATTCTAGTCTAGTCCAGAGAACATCATTGGGACATCATGATGATGTTTCAAAAATGTCTGCTTGGAATTAACGATTTCTGCTGACACTCGACCTTCTAGAACGAAATATATGTTGATTTTACGATTGCCTATCGACGAGTTGTAAATCATCACAATGTTTCAGCTTTTTTGTTTTGTTATTTCGCGCTTTGTTTAATTGTTTCACTAAGAGTTAAGCTATCTATGTCATGTGATCGTTATGCTTTCGAAACACTGAGGCACTGAGAGAACGATTTTCTCTTAAAATTCCATGGGGTACAGGTTTCTTGTGGGAAATGGTACGGTTTTCCATTTTAAGGATGTTGTCAACTGCTGGAATAGAGTAGAGAATAAATGCCATTTGACATTTCGTAATTCCTATTGTGAAATGATGTGCATTTTCGATGAATAATGCCTATGTTTTGAGAATCCTGATTTATTCGGTCAAATCCTGATTTTTTTCTTGAAAATTCCTATCCTGATTCCTGATTTTGCATACTAGACCGCTGCGACCCCTGGTTTACATTCTAATAGTGTCATGTTGAACATTGTCACATTGATACGTTAATATATATCTGCTGTATGAATTTAAATGACTGTAATTTCTACAATAGAATATTTTGAAACAGAAGAACTTTGTGTTTTCTAAGTAATTTGATATGCTTTATAATCTGAAGAAATCAACAAGAGTTTGTTAATCTACAAAAACCAATATATGAGTACCTAAGAAGATTTTGAAAATATTCATTCGTTCATTTACTTTTTCTTCTAGGTAAACGCAAACCATGGGCTGGTATATTACTTTATGGAGTAAATTTTTTTGTACATACAGCAAATTTTATTCTCTTATTGTTTTTTAATTTCATTCTAGCCTCCTGGTACTGGTAAATCATATTTAGCTAAAGCTATAGCTACTGAATGTAAGAATACATTTATTTCTGTGAGTTCATCTGATCTTTTATCAAAATGGCTTGGTGAAAGTGAAAAAGGTGTTAGAGGTTTATTTGAAATTGCTCGAGAAAAACAACCATGTATTGTATTTATCGATGAGATCGATGCTCTATGTGGACAACGTAGTGATACTGAATCTGAGTCATCACGTCGTGTTAAAACTGAATTTCTTGTTCAAATGCAAGGTAAGTTTATGAACAAAAACATGAATGAATATGATCTATGTGATATTTTGTTCTAGGTGTTGGATCAGATAATTCAGGTGTACTTGTTCTTGCTGCAACAAACATTCCTTGGACGTTAGATACAGCTATTCGAAGACGGTAGTTTTGAGATGAAAAATTTTTGCCATTGAAAAATATTTGATTATTTAGTTTTGAAAAACGTATTTATATTTCATTACCTGAAGTTAATGAACGAGCGGCTATGTTTAAAACTCATTTGGGAGCTAGTACTTATCATACAATCAAAGAAAATGAATGGATGCAACTAGGACAAAAATCTGAACAGTAAATATAAAATTTCATGTGTAAGAAATTAACTTCGATCCTTATTTACTAGTTATTCTGGTGCTGATATAGCTGTTGTTTGTCGTGAAGCTCTACTCAGACCTATTCGTCGACTTAGTTCAGCAACACATTTCAAAAGAGTATACGCTCCTTATAAATTTGTTGCATTAGCTATTTCTATGATTTTTCTTAGGTATCAAATCCAAATCCAGATGGTCCTCGTCAACTTTGGCTTGTCTGTTCACCAGGAGATCAAGATGCTGTAGAATTAACATTGGATAAAATTAAACCTGAAGAATTAGCTGAGCCACCAGTGACTATGGTTGGTATTTTGAAGAAGTTAATTCATTGAAGAAATATATTTTTGAGTTTAGAACGATATGATAGCTGCTCTTTCAACACAAAAACCAACTGTTGGTGAAGTTGATCTATTGAAACAGGTAAAATTTACCGAAGAATTCGGTCAAGAAGGTTCTTAAGAATGATGATTAATAAAATAAAGTAAGAAAAATCTTCAATCAATGACTGCTTTGATCGCGCATATAAATTGATATTTTCAGTTTCTATTTGTATGTTTGTCTGTTTGCTGTTTATTCTATTATTACTACAATAGTTGTATTTGTCTTTGCCTTTATTTTTCATGTTATTATTTTATTCAAAATTAATAAAAAGAAACAAACTCATAACCAATGGTAATCTTATATAATTTAAAAAAGACCTATTGATTAATATTGTTATCTTTTGTATAAATGTCATTGTTCTCTCTTATGTAACATTCTAAAAAAAAACCATGTTCAGTTTCGTGTGTATTATTTGTGCAATATATTTTATTATTGATCGAATGAGAAAAAGAAAATGATTCAATTACAAATTTTTTGCTTTTATTTTTTTTTTATTCATGATGATAAATATGAAGATTATTTAAAGGCTTTTTGATACATAAATATATAAGATGATAAACGAATAATTTAGTAATTGAAGTCTTTTATATTAAAAATCCGAATGAATAAATTTGAATTAATGATCAGCCATTTCAGATGATTCTGATTCAGACAAACGAGTATTTCGTTTACCTAAAAGAATTCCTTCAGTTGGATAGCCACGTTTACCAAGTAAGATGCCTTCTGTTGGATAGTGACGTTTACCAAGTAGAATACCTTCAGTTGGGTACCCACGTTTGCCTAACAAAATACCTTCGGTTGGATATCCTCGTCTTCCAAGGAGAATACCTTCAGTTGGATATCCACGTTTTCCAAGTAAAATACCTTCTGTTGGATATCCACGTTTGCCAAGTAGGATACCTTCTGTTGGGTATGCACGTTTATTGATAGAGGCCTTTTCAACAGATAATTTTGCTTTTGATGAATCTTTCTGATCATTATTGTTTGATTTAATTTTTTCAGCAGTTATTTTATGCTCAATAGCATCAGATATTTTCGTATTAGCTGGTGAACAATGGGTTAAATTGATAGTAAGAGCAACTAAAAGAAAATATGTTTTAGAAATAAGTTTTATATATATAGATAAATATTACTCAATGAGATCATAAGAACAGAGAATAAATACATTGATGATGCCATTTTTATTTGATTTTGAAAAATTTTACTGTAAATTGTAAATCTAGAATAGAAAGAATAAATGACATTAAATTCTGAATGATTACATTCATGTAAAAGATCCTCTACATCCCTGTTGCTAACTATAGAATTCAGAAGTAATAGAATAGTCAAACAAAACATGACTATTTATATGTACCTTTTCACATTCTTTCGTGTTCACAAAAGCAATAATATCGATAAATGCGTGTCAACATCTTCATCTAACTAATATTATTAAGTGCTAGTACTTTTTTGTGTTAGAATATTCTTCTGGACTCTTCTTTATACTATATTTATGTATGAAAAAAAAATGAATAGAAGTATTATTAATACATCTCATATTATGCATTATTTTTATTGTTGTATTTCAATACGATTTGTAAATATCTGTTAATCGACCTGTGAAAAATAAGTACAAGAATAAATTGTTAATTATTTTCTTGTACCTACGAAGAAAATTTATAGAAAATGTCAACTTACCTTGACTTGCTCCTAAGACAAATGATCTCTACTTCGATAGAAATTCCCTTAATAAATAGTCTCTATTTGATGTAAGAGAAAATTCACTTGTTATTTGTAATTCTGAATCTCTTTGCATGTTATCTATTATAATTAAAAAAAAAAAAATCTAACTGAAATTACTTTTTTTTTCTGTCTTCTTTTCTTTTCCTCTTCATACTATGATTTGTTTTGTTGATGACTCAAAAAGTTTTCTAATCAAGTGAAGTAGTGTAATGTATACATATGAATAATAAAACAAGAAACGACATGATTACTGATATTGTTCTATATAGAAAACAAATGAAAATGAATTCTTATGACATTGAACTTAATCTAGAAATATAAGATATCATCACTATGAAAAACTATAGCATATGTTTTCTAAAATAATAAGAGTAAAAAAAAACAAAGATTGTTTCTATTAAGACGGATTAGGATTAAATAAAATAACAAGAAGTATCTACAAAGTCATATGTTGAGTAATTGTAAAATTCGTGACTTTATAACAATGGATATGCTCGTTTTGGTAACAATAGTTAATTATTAATGCTTGATTACTATTGCTTTATTCTTTTCATACAAGAGTACTATTCAATATTATAGAATAAAACATGCTAAGCTTTCAAAAAAATAAGAAAAATACTTAGAAGTACAGAAAACCTACATATCGTTTGCAACCAATGAAAAACTAAAATGTTGTGTAACTAAATCAGAATATGCCCTGGTTAAATTAAAAAAATAATAATGTTGACAAGTACAAAATAGACCATCATATCAAGCATTATATAGATTTAAAAAGGCATGAAATAGAAGTTCTTTTTACATACGATTTTCTCTTAATTGTTTATTATAATTATCAAACCATATAGTTTTTCTTGATTGAACTTTCTACAGAAAATGAACTATCAGTTTTGAGACTTTTTAATATTTTACATTCAAATAATATTAAAGAAAAATGAAATAATCAAATTTCCTGGTCATTCATGACTTTGAAGTAAATAGGTGACACATCAAACTTGATGGATTATATTTAGAAGCCTTCGGTTCAACATATTTACTATAGAAAATTAAATATGTTGATGTCATTTTTACGTGATCAAGGGTCAACTTAACACGTATATGTCTTCTGAGCATAAAGAATATTTGCTTCAGAAAAGATTAAAAGACACGTATTCAAAAAAAAAAAATGAGCTACTACTATTGAATTTGTAGACAGTGGAATCTTAACCTGTAAACACCTTTTTACTCTAGATTTTAACATTGTTTTTACAGTCTGGATTGTTATTCTAAAATAAACCCATGTGAACATTTTTTCCCTCTTCTCTTCATCATTTCTGACTAATGCGCTATAACTGTACACATCAGGGAAAGCAATGACAAAAGAACCTTACCTTATTGTGACTATCAAAATGATTTAACCAGTAGATAACATAATTTTTTTTTATCTATAGCTTAAAAACTACAGAAACTACAATGATCTTATTTTCTTCAGATGACAAACGTAAATCTCTAGTATGTTATTAAAACTATGTTAGGTAAATCTATTGACCTACTTAGTTCGTGTTGATAATATAATTGTAATATACCACTTTCTATTCTTTGAAAATTATCCAACCATTTACTTTTTTTGTTGTAAACTGTTGCAAGCGTTTTTTTTAACACATTCGCCACCATATGAATATTGCTTTTTCACAATTCATGAAAGGTTTCATTTTTTTTTATTCAAGACAATTCTAATACTTCAAAAACAGTTTTTATCAACGTTTCTCTTATGAATATGAGTTATGAACATCCCTTTATCAGTGGTAAAAGAATCAGCCTCTTCTGTCAAAATATGGCAGAGATATTCGATTTTTCCTGCGGTGAAGGAAGTTTTGGGTCACCCTATAGTGGGTCCCACTGGTGGGACACTTCGCGTTGAATGTGTTAAATTGATATTTTCTTTATTATATATATTATAAAATGAAATAAAATGTGTTGTGCGTAGGAAACATTTTTTATTATGACCTTTCTTTGAGTATATGTTTAAAATTAATATTCCTTTTACTTGTACTAGAAATTTTCAACAACATCGCAAAAAACAAAGATTTTTTTTAATATGATGTTCAACCAATTTATTGTTCAATGTAGCATTAGAAAGAACACTTATAAACTCCATGAATCGAATCGATATTTCGTGTAGGAAAATAGTTGGCTCTCTCGTACGTATAGACCAATCACAGATAGACTTTCTTGTATAGTCTTATTCATATATTGAAGAAGGTATGATAAATTGTTTTAAAAGTATGACTTTGTAGAGCATCTTTTCCGTAAGCAACTCTAAATATTTCAAGACAAAATTATTTATATCACCAAAGTTATGTACTTGTGTTATGTCATTAATGACAAGAGTTAAAAAGCTTACTACAGTCCCATCAACAGACCAAGTGCATATCTTATTATATAAATAACTGATTTGTGTACATTTAGTACAAATTTGTTTGTTGAGATACACTTTTAATCTGTTGTTAAGTCTACGGTAAACGTTTTTTTCTGTTAGTTTATAATTTAAGTAATAAATGATCAATTTTGATTTGAAATATAAAAATTTCCTACAGTAAAAAGATGTTCTACAAATTCATGCTTTTAAAACAATTTTTTATACCCTTTTATCAATTTGTCAATGCTATATTCAACAATAAATTGGTCAAACATCATATGAATAAAAGTATTATCTTTTGCACTGTTGTGGAAAATTTCCGATATGCCAAAAAAATAGGCATAATCTCTAAAACTTTATTTTAAGAAAAAAAAAATACTAAAAAAATTTCCTCACATACGGCACAAATTGTTTTAATGTCAATAAAATTAAACCAATCAATGAATTAACTTCAACTTTTTAGAAGTATACTAGAGATCATGGAATGTAATCTGATGCAAAATCAAGTTATGTTGGTTCATCTAATTTTTTTAAATATATAAAAAAATAAAATAAAATAGTCTATCAGTTGAATAATTTTTAACAGCTACTGTTACATGAAATGAAAAAATTCAATTTCTTAATGATAACTACAGTCATAGTTCCAAATCATAAATTCAATATATTAAAGTGAAGAAAAAAAAAGAATATTTCAAGAATTATCAAAAAATTCCACAATCTTAGTATCAAACGCAATTTTAAAAGTGTAAAGTAATAAAATTTCATGAATTGTGCAGTAATATTCATCAAAATTACACATATCAAGATCGAAAGAATAATGCAGAACTCTGCTAAATAAAGCAAAGATTTTTTTTTCATCAATATTCGCAATAAGAAAAATGAAAAATACAGACCAGTAAAAAAAACCTTACACTCTGAAACTTTTGTCATTTCATAGTGAAATATATGACCTCTTTCATTAATGAACATTTCTCAATAGTAAACGCTTTATTTAAGATAGATTTTATTGTACATATATTCTTAAATTATTCGAAAATTGCTTTCTCAAATTCAAAATTTTGTTTCATTTTATGTTCTGTTATCTGTAAGTAACAGATAAATTCCGATTTGATATTTTATTCATAAATGAACTCCTCATTTAATTATGTCAATATAGGAGAATGAACAGTTGAACATAGTACGTACGCATTGATGAATTATTTTATCATAATCAATATCGATAAAATTTAAAAGAATTAAGAATTATACAAAAAAACAAAAAACAAAGCAGGTAATAAAAATGTTTACATGAACATGAATAATAGAAAGGATTTCAATCAATTCGATTTGACTAACGTCTAAAGCAATCATTCAGAAATTCATACATTTATTTCCTATCACTCAATTCTAAGGTTCTCTAATCTAGACACCGTCGAGATGGATCAAAAATATTCATTATTAGGAAGTCTTCAGCTTGTGTTTTACAACTCATAAGTGTTCAGTTGCAATCATTTTTCGACTGCATAAGATGACCTTTTCTTCTTGGAAACAATTAATTAATTCGATACTTTTAATCAGACATAAACCAACTCATGTTGACACAATTTAATGTTACGAAGTACTAATTCTTCATCCTCCCACAATAGTTCCAGAAATTAACTTATCACTGGCGCGTAACCTTATCTAATATGCTAATGATGTGGTTTGATTTACTGAGTGTCAATATCTTTATGTAGCGCTGTTTAATGGATCCAATGACCTCGTGGTGGGAAAAGCAGATTTGAACGATATACGAAACTTAGATTTCTTTTTCTTCAACCACATTATTAAGTGAGAGAAAGCAACATCAATCCCAACTTATTGTATTAATAGAAAAAAGGAAGACATGAACGGGAAAAAAAACTGATCTCAAAGGAATACATGTGTTCTTGACATATCCTGTTGAATGATAATCTACCTTGCTTTGAGCTATTTTATAACTTTTACAAACATTTTTAATTCCTAATAAATACTATTCCAACTTTTCATCAGTTGATATTTATAATACACATATTAAATTTATTGTTAATTGCCTAGCAGCTCTCCTATAATAGCTTCATGGCCAATTATATGCCTTAGTATGTATAGTTTCTTGAGTGATCACGAATCTTTTGAAACATATCTAACTCACTAGCGGGTGTCTTCATTGATTTATATCACACAGAAATTCTGAAAGATCTCTATTGAATGTAGGCAAAAAAAAACATTTCGTTTCGAAAAATTCAATTTGTTTTCATTTTTTTCGACGCTATCGATTTTGGAATCCGAACAGTTGCTCGCCGGACAGTTGCTCGCTAGGACACTTGCTCACTAGGACACTTGCTCGCGAATGAAATGACTCTTCATTGTCAATGAAAGAATTCAGAACAAAATTGACTCAACTAATAGACTGTTTGTAGAGCACATTGACGATCATGGTCTTTATAAAGAATAGTCGTATTCAATCATCACAAACATATAAAAAGCAGTGTCAGTCGTAGAACAGTGCATTAAGAAAACAACCATATCAGTTACTCTTTCAACAACATCAAAAAACGCTCCGTTACTTATTTACGACGGATATTCTTACATTATTGATAAACGAAACGACAAGAAAATATTATGAAAATGCGAACATGCCAGAAAAATTACATGTCGTGGACGATTAAAGAATATTTTCGTATATCTCATACAAATATTTACTTCGAAGCATTTTTACGAGCAAGTGAAGTAACGAGCAATTGTCCTAAACCCATCAATTTTGTATGCCCAATATTTCAAAGACGGAGCTATGAAAAAAAAACAGAATATTCTTTTTATCGAACGAAGGATTAATTTTAATATAAAAACGACGAGATATTACATCGAGCACCATTGCCATTGTCTAATATTGCTTGTCTTTAACTTTTGAATATCCACAGCTAAGTTCATGTCCTTTTTCCTAAGTGTCTCATAGTTGTTTATCATACAGTAGTATAATATAACACATGAGTAACATAATATATGTTGCTCACATTATAGAATTTTTTGTTGCTTAAGTTACCAGTTATTAGCATCCAATGTTTAGACTAAGGAGATACTCATCTTTGCGAAACTGATTCCTAGCAAAATTCACTTGGATTGACTAGATATATAGGTCAGTATAGGAAGTTGTCCTCATAAAGAGATTTATATGTTTTATTGAAATTTTTCATTTCTTCCTTGAGATGTCAGTATTTAACATTAGCCTAATAACTATCAGCGCCAATATTATCGAGGTACTTTTTAGGCTGTATAGCAATTATTATGGTTGGTTTCTAAAAAGTTTTTACGATTGAAAAAATATATCGAAGCCAAGAGAGTTCGCTTTTACGTTATAGTCGAATCGATTAAAAGTTTTTGTATCAAAATTTTGTGTTTTTGATTATTTATTTAGAATACATGATCAATTTCTATTATCAACAAATTTTGATTTCAAATGAAAAATATTAAACATAAATTATTATTCATAATTAAAATATATAAATAATAGATCAATACATTCAAAATAATAATAAATATGGTGTAATTATTTTTTAATCTAACTTATTAAAAATTTAAATAAATGAAAACAGAAAAAAATTCATTTAAGAAGAAATGGTTTGAAAAATTAGATTAATTAACTATTAAAAAAGAAAAATTTGTATTCTTATTTTTCTAGATGATGAAAACGAAAATAAAATATTAAACAAATTACTATCAACATATAAACAAAACTAATTCTATAAACGGTATCATACAAAGACTTATCTGTTTTCTTTTTGTTTGTTGTTTTGTATTGAACTAAAAAATGAAATGAACTATTATAAACATATATATATTGAATAATTTTATTAAATAAAATATAGATTTTAATTTATATCTAGATGGTATGAGCCAGAATAATAATATTCTGTCTACCAACGAAAAATCATCATTATCATTTAATAATGATATTGATGAAAATAATCAAATATTATCATCAAATTTACCGAATGAATTAAGTAATAATAATAATAATGATGATGAGTGGAAATCAGCCAATGATAATGATGATATTGATATAAATGAAATTCAAGATGATTTAACAACAATTAATAATGAACAAAATAATAATGATGGATGGGCAAATTTTGATACATTTGAAAACAATACTAATTCAAATTCAGAGGTGAATTCTTCATTTCATTTTCTTATATGTATATTTTTTAGAGACTATCTAATCTATGATGTGAAAGTCTTACGAGGGAACATTTTCAGGTGCTAAAAAGCTTTTCAATCGGGGTTGTGATAACTAGATAGGGCATAGCTAGCAGTGATACACCCTAAGTTAGTTCGCGCCCAAGTTGAGATTTGGCTGAGATATCGACTTTTTACTAGAATTTGCCTATGGGACCCCATCTTTCCCATGAAATCAAAGTTTTGAATTTTGAGGTGAGACTT